GCCAACACAGCATCGCGCAGACCTTCTTGACGCCGACAACGAGCCCGGAGTTATTGTGGGCTCCGTGAAGGAGGGACCTCGTGTGCGAATGGCGGCACGAATTCGTGTCTCATCGGCCGGCGACGTTCGAGCGGCGATGGAAACTATCTTCAAAAACTATGAGAAATGCTTTTTCCCCGTGCTGTGTGAAAAGCAGCCAACGCCTGAGCTGGAGGCAATGCCTTCGTATTTGCCCGACAACGTCGTTCCTCCGCTTTACCGCGATGATGGTGAGGCGGAGTTTGCAGATTATATGGATGCAAACTCCCTGACATTTGTCGCCTTGGGAGATGCCGGACGGCCCGCTTTGTGTGGCATTGATGCCGCCGCGCAGCTACACCACGAAGGGGCCCAACGAGCACTGGTGTCGGCAGCAGGAATTGTCTCCAGCATTTGCCGCCGTCGTCTGTGCATTCCCTTTGGAAATTCAGAACTCAGTCAGTTGTTGCGCCGGGCGTACAATACGGAAAAAGGCAACCGCAACAATAGTTTCAATGGTTCTACCGAGACGGTTTTGTTGACTCAAGCCTTTTCGGATGCCGTGTGGGCGGAGGAATCGTTCCATTATTTCTCCATGACTCGTCGTGTTGGCAATATTCTTGGCTCGACCGGAATCGGATCCACCACAAGGGATCTTGCCGTTGACAAGTGGCGTCCTGATCAGGACATCATGGAGTTGCGGGATGAACTCATGATTGCCCGGACCGCGTACGACCACAGGCATTGTGGCTATGAATCCAACAGTCCATTTCAGACATAAAGGAGGAAGGGATGAAGCGCATCAACGCCATTGAGAGCAACCGTGAGGAGGCGCGGGAACGGCAGCTGAGTGTGGTTCGCGAGCGTGCCAAGCATGAGGCGGAGAAGATGGCCAAAGAGCTTGAGCGGAGAGGTGGGGCCACGTTGGACGAACTTGAGAGGACTCTGGAGGCGAAAAAGCGGGAGAGCACTGCTCTGCAGGCCGACCGCGAAAGCCGCAATTGGGAGTACGAGCATAAGCTGGAGAAGATCCGAAAGAAGAAACAGGACGAGGAGAGTGCTTCGGAGAGGTTGCGGCAGGCGATGCAGCAGCCGGAGCAAGGACTCGGCCTACGGCAGAGCGCCATTGGACGAGGGAGCAGCAGCTCGAGATGGTTCAACTTGACAGGGCGAGGGGGCGAGAGGCCATCATGCGGGAGCGGCATTCCTTTCAGGCGATGCGAAAGACCGTCCTGGAGGAGCGCCGCCGCCAGCGGAGGCAGTGGATCCATCAGATTAGAGAAATGAATACAAAATTCCCGGAAACGGTGCGTCCCTTGGCCGAGGAGCGGAAGAAGAACTGCGAGCAGGCGACAGCCAAGGAGGACGCCGCCGAGAGGGCTCTTGCTGCCGACGTCAAAATGATCGAGGAGTGTTTGCCGAGGCTCATTTCCCTTGAAGACATTCCTGTGAACCCGGAGGAAACGGACATCATTCGACGCCAGTTTGACGAGGTCTTCACGCAAGAGGAACAGACATAATTGGCCAGCGCTGAAGAGGAACGGGCCCGCAAGGAGAGGCTGGGACGAGGGCTCGAGGTGTATCGACAGCGTATGCTTGATGATTACGTGGCAAAGAAAAATGGAAAACTGCATGACGTCGAGGCAACGGAACGCCACCTCAGTCCTGTTGTGGATCAGGTGCTGAATTAATTACGCAACGGGGTCTGCGTGACAAAGATACCGAGCAAGGGCAATGCTCGCGGACGCCCATGTTTTCTCTTGGAGGACTGCAAACGTATTCATTTCTGTGATCTGGACCGTCAGGGATTCCCGTTAAATCGCAAACGGCCTCCAGTCACCATGTGGTTACGTGACATCGAAAAAGTTCTCATCGGCCTGTCCACAACCTCATTTGTGAACTACAGCGGCGAGGCACAGCTGGCAACAACACGCCAGGAGGCAGTTTCTGACAATGGGACGCACCGCCATGATCCCACGCAAAACATCACTCCGTCCAGCCTTGGAACAAACAACCACCGCGCATTCGCACTTTTGCTTCGCGGTGGGGAATCATTGGAGGTGGTTTGTGAGACTGACAGCGACTGCGAGGCCTGGCCTGTTGCTCTCAAGCGTCCACTGCATTTGAGGAGTCCTGCGGAAAGGCTTCTTGAGGACCGACGGGGTACGTGAAGAGACGCACGTGCGCAGCCGAGCGATAATGACGTGGAAATGCGGTGGGGCGGCCCACTTGACATTCGCAATATGCGAGGATTTGTTTCTTTTGCCCCCGATGCAGCAACTCTTTGCGGCGAGGATCACATTCCTCCAGCCCTCTTTCTTCGGGTGAAACAGGAGCCGGCTGAAAAGTCTCAAAGGAGCACAATGACCGCCTATGAGGTCCGAGTTTGCTCGGGCCCGGATCTCTTTTGCTCTGGCCGACTTTACGACTACTTGTGCGAAAAGCGTGTCGCTCCGCCTCCGTACTAATGCCGTGGGATCTTTTATTGTTTTTCTCTCTTTTCCCCATGGCTATTTGTGGTTTTCTTGTGTGCTCTTTTGGATGTATTGAGGCGGCTGGTTGGAGAGAGGCTAACTGCCGCACAATTTTGTGTGAAAAGGACTTTTGAACCCCACGTGTTTGGGTCATTAGCGAGTGAAGGGAAGAAAAAAGGAAATGATGGTCACCACCACTACTGCTGCTGCTGCTTCTTTTTTCCTTTTCTCTGCTGCCTGTTTGAAATAGGCTATCCATCATTTCTTGTGGGTGTTCCACACCCTTCTTCTCTTCTTCCTCTGTTTCTGGGTGCGTGTTTTTAGCACCGCCGTTGTGGGGCCGTTGCTTTGCCAACATGCATACGGGGGTGGTGCTCCTTCCCATAGATGTGCCGTGAAAAATATTAATATATTTTCAAATGCGCCGTGTGCTTTTCTGTGTGCGTGAAATGTGGGGCTTAGGCCTCACTCAGGC